ATGGGGTTTGGAGCAAAGGTCTGGGCACCTGAGTCACTATTTCCCTCCTTTTGTCCCCGTGGGTAAAGCAGGAGAGCAGAAGGGAGTGGAGTCCCTGCAGATGACTGCTTCTCAGTGTTCAGATCCATGCTCAGTGCTAGTCCTTAAGTGAAGCTTTGTTTTGAATGCCAGTATAAGTAGAGATCTTCTGAAGCAGGTCCTGGTTGCTTGGTGGCTGCATGAAGCACACGTCTCAAAGACTTACTACAAATATCTAAACTACTTACCACATACAGTAGCTCTGCTCCTAGTATTGATTGAGTAAGGAAATTCACAGTTCAAGTGCCCTAAAAGGTGGCGGAGAGTGATCCACAGCACTGACTGCAGAATGAGAGTGTGAGGTCTTGGTCTAGATTCTCAGACAGGAGTTGCCTCAGGCCAGCTGCTCCCTCTGCCTGTGCCCCCTTCTCAGAATCAACTCAGTAGTTGGCTCTCCAGTGAGTTTTCAGAGACTGTGAACCATACAGGAGGAGAGTGCTCATCTCTGTCCCAGGGACCACCTGGTGGATTCAAACCGCTTGCCTTTAGTTTGGCAGCTTGGCTCCTGACCACAAAGTGGGGTCCTTAGGGTAGCCTGGCTGCAAAGGCGGCTGTAAGGATTTTGTGCAAACCTCATTTCAGTGTGCTTAGTGATGGCCGACACAAAAGATTCTGTTGTATATTCTGTGTGTATTTTGTTCATTACAGCATTGACTTCATACAGTCATTTCACGTTTTCTTGGAGCAGAATAATAAAAATACCATGGCTTTGTGTATATGTGATTGCAGACAGAGGTCAGAACCACTACCTGTAGAAGAAAGTACCTGCTAAACTCCTACTTTGAATATTTAAGCTTTCCAGACCATCCATAAGCTGCCTTGCTAATCCCTTGAGTTCTGGGTCCTGTCATTCTGATGACACTTAACTTTGGACGTACTCTGTCACTCTGAAGGTTCTTGTTCATTCCCTGTGAGTTATTGGACTTCTTCCCTGCTCTGCCATCACGCACATTTTACTCTTACATTCTTACTCTTACTTCCTAGGTGTCAGCCGGCCTCCAGCTAGATTATACCAATGGTAGAGGCAGTGGCTAGAGCAGATTAGGAGGAGCCAGAAAGGGGAAACCAGAACCTGAGGTCTAGGTACTAATGTCTTTATTTTCTGGATAGAGAGTCTGAGCCATAGACCTAGGCTGTGTAGATAGAGAAGTCTTGGTGACATAGTGGTTAAACACTTGACTGGCCAACTAAACCCACCATCTTCAGAGAAGAAAGATGGGACCGTCTGCTTTGCTAAACATAATAGCTTTAGATACACGGTGAAGCAGCTTTATCTACACTGTGGTCACTTGTTAGGAACCATCGAGTCAGAACTGACATAGCTGACTCTCCAACAGGTTTTCAGAGGCAGTAAATTGCATGGGAGGTAATTGCCCATCCTTATCCTATGGGGCAGCTGGTGGATTCAAACTACATGCCTTTGGGTTGACAGTGCAGCTACTTAACCACTAAGCCACCAAAGCTCTTGTGGGTCCCTGTAAGTTGGACTTGACTTAAGTTTGGGCTTTGTGTTTATTTTTGTGTCAAGGATGACAATGAGGAATTGAGCCCAGGGCAAATCAGAAAACCTCCATTGAGCCCAGGGCCACATGGTGTGTGAAATTTGCACTTCCAGCATAGAGTGCATGCTCACTTACTGCTGAGAGATTGGAACCAGGTTTTATATTGACCCTGTGGTGGGTTTCTGAGGCTCTAAATCACATAGGAGGAAATGATCCATCTTTATTCTTTGGAGGTACTGGGGATTTTGAACTGCTAGAGAAGTGCCACCTTTGGGTTAGCAGCAGAAATCCCCACTGACTGTGCCACCAAATCCCAGCGTAGAAGCATCCTAGTCATCTGTCATGTTCTTATGTGCTGGAGTTGGAACTGACTCATAGCCGATCCTCCGGAGAGTTTTCGGAGGCTGTAAATCTTAATGGGAGGAGATTGCACATCTTTCTCCCTTGGAGCAGCTGGGGGTTTAAACCACCTGCCTTTGGTTGGCAGCTCAATTTCTCACCCACTAGGCCAGCAGAACTCCCATTGTAATCATCTGGTGTTGCTACAGTGGACTTAGTGGAAGTGGACAACTTAGGAGGCTGAAGTCTGAAGGCTTTGGGGAGGCTTTCTCTGTTGGTTTTAGAGAAAGATACTGTGCTCCTTGTTGTTTCTATACACCTGGCCTTCCTTGGAGAGCTCTGTGTGTCTTGGCATCAGTCTTTTCCAGGATCCAGGGTGTTTACCATGTAGGAACCGCGGGTCTAGAAGATGCACGCCCCTCTTGGCTTTTCTTAATGATACTGAGCTCCCTCTACCTCAGCTTGCTTCTCTTTCCTTTTAACTCTTATGTGACAAAAGTGATGCAGACCACATTCAGGGACACTCCCCTTCCATCACATCAGTGCTGTGAACAAATGAAGGGCATTACATCTACATTTATCCTCTTACAATTGATTGACCACATCATGGGGAGATGGAGAGGATTACATCAATAGGTGACTGCTTCTAATCCTGCCTCATTAATCAGAGAGGCTAGGATTTGTGATACATAAATAAGATAGTTACAGAATACTGAGAATCATGGACCAGCCACATCAACATATTTTTGAGGGACTCAATTAAATCTATGACGAGTATTTTTAGTTGGCAGATATGTATACTATGTTGAATTCTAGCAATTACAGGGGTTTATGTGCAGTTACAGAAATAACTGGGGAAACCAGTCTGCCTTCCCTGCTTCTTGTCAAATACTTTTCATGTTTCATGGTTATCTGCGAAGGCTGCTTATGTATTTTGTTTATAAGACTAAAAAGTGAAATACCTTGATCCAGAAGAAATATTTGAAAAATTATTAAAAAATTTTAAAGCACATAAAAATTGACCAATTCATGAAGACTTTGCGTGTCACCCACTTGGTAATTGAGGGAATTTTGGAATCACATATCCAGGCCTTCTGAGACACCTCTGGGTGGGCTTGAACCTGAAAACTTCCTGCCGACCACCAGGCACATTAGCCTTTTCTACTAGTAGCCTGTAGGACAAATCCAATTCATGAACATATTTTTATTGCTTGGAATGTGCTGCTGTTGCTTGTTATGTGTCATAGAGTCAGAACTGACCCATAGCTGATGCTCCAGCAGGAGGAGATTGCCCATCCTGCTCCTATTGGAGCAGCTGGTGGACTTGAACCGCATGACTTTGGGATTGCAGTGCAGCTTCTTGTTACAAGGCCATCAGAGCACCCTTGGAATGTGCTAGGGTTTTAAAATACTTTAAAGTGTGTACTTCATTCAGATGAGTTGATTAGTGTACAGGCTCAAGGACATTAAGAGATGATATAAAATCTCTAGCTTATGTAGAAGGAATAAAAGTTGCCCTGCCCTTGTTTCAGCCTGATCCATCCTTGCTTTGTCATCTAAACTTTTTGAACTTTAAAGAAAAAGGAGAAAATAGACTTGAAAACTAGTCAGAGTCCACCTTGAGAATTATTGAATTTCTTGAAATGGAGAACCTAATAATCAATACAAGAAAGGAAGTATCAAAACTGGAATGGAAATGCATGCCCCTACATTGAGGGCATGTGGCAGCTGACTTGTTGATTAAGGATTGTAGGGTTCAGTTAACACACCATCCATGTGGGGAGAAGCTGGCAGCTGGCTTTACAGTCCACGAAGTGCTGAGGTCAGGGTGTGTGGCCTCAGCCATCTGCATGTGCCCAGAAAGCTGTTGGGGAGCTCTGATAGCAACCTCCAACCACCCATGAAAAAGCAGGGCCCAGGAGCAGCAAAGGCCGTGCTGAAGATGTGTGGTTCTCAGTCCAGGTGGCTACAGGGATTGTGGCCTCCTGCCGTCATTTGCACGGACACCATGAAGTAATTGCAGCTATAATTCCAACCAGTGCATCTTGTGCTTCAGTCACCTGGGTGTAGAGCGTGGTGCACAGACAGAGGACCCAGCCTCTTCAGTTCATCTTTTCTCCTTAACTTTAGGTCAATTAGAAATTCTGATTACATTTTTCAGGAAGAAATTTCTTAGAAGGTTTAGCAGGCCTTTCTATTCATCACTTGTTTGCCTTTTATTAAATTCAGCAAATTTAAATGTTAATAATTTTATGAAAAATAATTTGATGGGTAACTTGTGGATTTGTCATGTTATTTGTATACATGTATATGCCCCGGAGTGTCTGGACAGAACCACAGTCTCTCAAATAGCTTTAGAGTTACTGGGAGTGAGCAGTATACCCCACGATATTACATTTTTCTCAACTTTTGTCTTGATCGTGCTGTAGTCCTCATCTCCATTCAGATTTCTCTCAGAACAGTATACAATCCATACCTCCAAGTTATTAAAAGGTCAATAGGTTCCTGACCCTCTTCTGTAGTTGTTTTGTGTCTCACATATTTACCAATTTAATCCTTCTATCCACTTATGATGTAGAGACCACTATTCCCATTTTGCAGATAGGGAATGTTGAGGCCCACAAAATAACTTTTTGTCCATAGTCACAGTGGCGAAAAAGGCTGGACAAAGCAGCATTCTGAAGGATCTGGTAGCACTTTTGCATGCCCTGGAGCTGGTCGAGCGTGGGATATGATGGCCTTTGCCGCCTTCCTGGTTCCCTCGCCATGATACGTTGTGTACTTGGTTACCTGAACTGCTAGAGCTGGAGGAATAACAATGAGCCTCAGAAATGGGGATGGTTAGGGCAGGTCTGATAACAGTCTGCCTAAATGACAATTTTTTAAATTGTCTAAATAAGAATCTTGATTTTTAAAATTTGTATTTGTTTTGACCTTACCACCTTCTGGTTGTTCCTGTCGAGTAAAGTTTGCTGCACTGGAGGATTACGCAATGTAGACTGTCTCCCCACAGTGTGGCCCCAGGGTGAGGGGTCCTGACCAGTAGATTATATATTGAGTATGTTGGTTTGTTTATTTTAGGATCCTCAGGGCCTACTCAAAGAAAAATACAAGACGGCAAAAGCAATCCTAGTCACTTCTGCGCCAGCCAGAGCAGTTGGCTGTGCGGGGAGGTTGTGCCAAGCAGAGGTGTGATGGGACCAGACCCAGCAGCTGGGATGCGGTGTGTTCAGGTTCAGCTACAGCAGGTAAGAGTCAGATGTCCAGAAGGGGTCTGCGTGCAGACCCTGGAGGCAGGCGTGGCTGCGTGGGAGTGGTGGGGACAGGTCCTGAAAGCCCACTCCCCTCAGCTCTCTCCCCCAAGCCCTGCCTGCAGTACTCATCTCACCTGACGGCTGCTTCACAGCTCCTACCTGCCCCACTTCCACATAGTCCTCAGGTCCTGTCTTATATCTTAAGCCCCACGTCTCCCTGTTTCCTGCCTGGAGCACTGTGTTTTTCCAAACTTTTACCTTTATCTGATGGTCTCTTCATCTCTCTGGCTCTCCCCAAAGGCAGTTTACCTCCCCTACCTCTAAGTTACTTTTCTGAAATGATGGTGGACTCGTGACCCTCTCCTGCAGTGTTTTAGGTCAGGATTATGTTGCTGGTCATTACTGTTCCTCATTTGGCCACACTCAGAGCCTCTTTCTTTGCTTCCACAGGCACCATGATCCCTCCTTGCACTCTGCCCTGGTCACTGCTGGAATCTTTGTTGTGCTTTGTTGAAGGCATTTCTTCCTCAGCCAAATGGAGGCTTTTTCCAGGCTTGGGACAAGGATTATCTGAATAGCTTGGAGCTTGTGAAGAGCTGTCGAACTCCTGGAGATAGAGGCAGTAAATAGTGAGGGAAAAGAGCCTGTCATTAGCTGCTAAGCATGGACACAGCTTGCAAATTAGAAGCAAACAAGGAGATGTCATAGGCTTTGGAACAGGAGCCAGCAGTATGCAGATGCTGTGGGTAGAAAAGGAGCTTGTTGAGAGAGGAGTAGGTAGTATATTTTAAGAAGCATCTAATTAAAGACAATGACTAGGGATGACAGAAGGAGAATTGATGCCTTTGAGCTGTGGTGTTGGAGAAGGGTATTGAATATACCATGAGCTGCTAGGATAATGAGCAGGTTCATCCTGTAGAGGGTGAAACCAAGCTGCTCCTCAGAAGCAAGGATTTTGAAGCTTTGTCTGACATATTTTGGGCATGTTGCAAGGAGGGACCAGTCCTTGAAGAGGGATAGCGCAAGAGAGGAGGACCCTGGATGAGATGTATTGACTTAGTGACTATGATAATAAGGGTAGGTGGCTCAGGATAGAGCAGGGTTTAGGGCTGTTATACTTAGGGTTGTTATGAGTTGCAAGTGACTCAATAGCACAGAACAACAATTAAAGATAGAAACATTGATGTCTAAGAAACCTGTATGTACCTCTTACCAGCTAATATAACGTTGGGTGAACTAGCCCTTCCTAGACAGTTTTATCATATATAAAGCGGGAATATTAGTGTTTAGTACTTGACACGGAAGACTGTAGGAAGAATGTGAGGTGTGGGCCTGAGACATCACAGTAGTGTGACCTGGCTGGACTTGTTGATTGTGGAAAGACTGTTGAGTGCTCATTTTCTTTTTTTTCTTCTTAATACTTTATTTTTTTTTTATTAATTTCAATGAAGATCTACAGAGATTTTGGAATTCCATTCATTCATTGTTGCACTTTTCTCCCCACCCCCTGTTCGCTCCTCTCCTTGAAAAGCAAAAGCAAAACTCCTTCATTGGTACACAATACACACACACACACACACACACACACACACACACACACACCCCAAATATACTCCACTCTGCAACCCTCATTCCGGACTCTTATGATAATCATGATGCCCTAAAATATATTACTTTTAAACTATTCTCTCCCTCATCGGCTGAGTGCGCATTTTCTTAATGAGATCCCTAAGGGTCTGGTAGCCTGGCCTCCTCTCTGAGGACCCTCTGTCTACTCTGATTCCCTTCGCTCACCCCTGAGATAACCTGGGGCCTGTTGGAAAGGACCTACAGGTAGAGAGACCTGGCAACTGGGGAGGGGCGGGAAGCCCCCGAGAGAAGTACAGGAGCAGCCCTTGCAATAAAGTGGGCCTGGGACTGGAAGGGCAATGGTGATGTGCAGGGTGACATGGACTCACAGCAGAGGACAGAGGAGCCAAATGGCAGAGTTCAGGGTCCAGCCCAGTCCTTGGGCCTTCTTCCTCATAATCCTGCTCGCTCAGTAGGATTGGTTTTGCAAAGTGCCACAGGAATGAGGCTTCTCGAGCAGGGGAGGGAATGTGGCCTTGTAAGAACCAAGTGAAAGATGTTTTCATTGTTGCTTCAACAGGAGGACTCCTCAGGTGAAGGTGCCTTGCCAGTTGCACTCAGCATGCAGCCCCCACTGCTCTGTCCCCTGCTCACCATGGACTTGCCTGTCTACGTCCTTCAGGTCTGGATGCCTTACATCTCCTTAACTTTGTTCTTAGAACTATTAGAGATTGCCCAGGCTTCCTGGAGGCTCTCTGCAGCAGCAGGTTAGTTACTGCATTGAGTTCCTGGCTGAGTCACCAGGCTGGTTTCTGTGGACGTGGTGCTGCTTTTGGAAGAGGCAGGTAGATAGCAAGGTGGAAAGTGAATAGCTTAGATTGGCTCGTCATGGAGCTCACTCACAGACAAGGTAAGGTTAACCTTTGAGTCAGTCTCTCTGAACTAGTGCTTTTCTCTTTTGAAAAGTAGACTGGCCAGTTTTTCAATGTGAGGAAAGGATCCAGAAGAAAGAAGTCACTACTTTTGGCTCAAGTCCTGAGAACAGGTGGCATCCTAGAATTAAGATTTGCATATCAAACAAAGACCAGAAGCATGAGCTTAACTTAATTTCTGTAGTGCAGTCTACATGTTTCTTTTAAAGATCTATGAAACTGTCCTTTTTGTTTTGTTGCATTCAAATTGGACTGTTCAGTATTTTCCTTAACATCAAAAATAACCACCTATAGGCCGTTAATATATAATATGTAGATGGAGGCATGGTTTGTGCAGCTGTCGTGGATCCTGATGCCTCCTCTGTTTTGTGTGGCAATTCTACTCATGAGGGTTGGTTCCTAAGGTGTTGAGACCATGTGCAAGTAATTGACCAGTGATCAGCTCATCATTGACTCTGATAGTGAAAAATTGTCTTCTAGCAAGGGGAAATGGATTCATTGAGTCATGGTGCAGCTGCGTGGCTGCTCAGCCATTGAAAATTATGCAGATGCTTAATAACTTGGGAAGATACTTACCATTAGTAACGTCGGGAGACGGCTACACAATGATAACTGTTCTCAGGTCATCCAAGTGATTTTTGTAAAAAGACACGTAGATGAATGTGTGTGTAAGTGTGAATATTCATCAGTGTGTGAACATGACAAAGTCTATTTTCCCATCATTGTGTTTATATTTTTTCCTAAAGCATACACTTCTAAAATATGGGAAAATATGTTCTGTTCAATCAAGAAGTCAAACATAGCTGGTGGTTTGACCTCACTGTTCATTGATGTCCATGGACGTTGATGCCTCAGGAGTGTTTAGGTGGAGAGCATTTGGCTCCTGTGAGATGTGTGATTCTCCTGGTCTCAGTCAAGCCATCATCCTGCAGAGCCTGAGGGTCCTGTGCTGGAATTTCTTCACTCCCTTGTCCTCACGCTCTCTGCTTGGCTCACAGGAGGTGCTCCCCGTCCCAGAGGATGCTGCTGGTCCCGAGGCCGCACCGTTGGCCAGAAGCACCATCAATCTCCAGGACTTGCAGTGAGAGCTGCCTGGAAGAGTTCCTGGAAGACTCCATTTGGTGGTCGTGTAGGTGTGGCTAGGTCTCCACTCAGATTCTATCCCAAAATCCGGCCTAATTCTTCAGGAAACTTTCTGGTATATTTATGGAAAATGTTTTTCTTCTATTTTATCAGGAACCAGTCTGGGGCTCTGGTGTTTGAATGTGCCCTGATGAGGTGCAGTACTCTAGGATGTGGAGGTCATGGACTGGTAGAGCCTCACATTATGTGCTTACTGGTCACCCACACAGCGTCTTTCCTTCCTGCTTGGCCTGAGCCACGTAGCACTTGAATTAAAAAGGAAAACGATACCTGCAGAACTAAATATTCCAAGTTTCCCGGTCAACTGTGGCTTTCTCTGTATAAATCACGTGGTGCATTTTAGCTTCATTTTGTTAGCTAGTTGCTTTGTAACAAACCATTTCCCATTCATGTGGATGGCTTATTTGGTCTGGCTGATTATGCAATGTGTAGAGCAGAAGTGGCCACGTCAGAGGGAAGCTACCTTCTAGTCCATGTTTTTAGGCTACCCCAGGCAGGTCTGGGCAGGTGTGGGACCAGCAGGCTGCCTGTGTGGAAGAATGAGTGGTGAGCACAGGGGAGCGTCTGTAAACCCCAGTGAGCCTCTCTAGAGGCCCCAGGTGTTGTTCATACTTTGCAGACAGTAGGGTTAACACTTAAAATAATCTTTCTAAATTTTGTTGTTGAGTATTCATGTTCAATAAATAATTTTACAACAGTTTATACAGTGATATTCTGGCCACTATAGATTTTGTATAGAACAGTAACAATGGTATGTGTATATGTGTTATTGAAGATGTGCATATAATAAGTCAAGGTATATTTTTAAAGAGGATAATGTCTTGTGTATGGACACGTGCGCGGCTTGCACATATTTATTTGTTTCTTACAGCTGAGGTAGTGGTCGCAGGGTTGTGGGAGTGCCCTTCCACCTGTGCCTATAGAGAGAGAGAGAGTGTGTGTGTGAGAGACAGATGCTGGTTGCTCTCAGGCTCGAGTCATCTAGACTTTGTCCTGTCTGTGTCTGTCAAATTTTGATTTTGTAGTCTTTCTGGAATGACCCAAGCATTCTCTGTGAGTTTTTTCTGTCAGCTCAGAGGTGCATCTGCCCAAGGTGCCTCTCTGCTTGGAAGAATTGAAACTGCATATGTAAATGGTTCTTTTCCACAGAAGTCTGTGCTGCCTCACAGACTGAAGTTCAGGGAGTGGACGTGGCCCCCTGGCTCTCCTCCTTGATCATCCTGGACTAAAGGTTGAGGCCTCCCTTTCTCTGGGGAGCCAGGGACCACCTCTGGCATGATTCTGTGGCCTCTTGGCCCTGTCATACTATCCCCCTAAGGGGACAAGAGTCTGGGCCACAGGAGCGCTTCCTCCCAGGTTACCATCGGGATCTGTCTCCCGCCCAAGCCTCAGGGAACACACACTACAGTGATTGGGGTGCACTGTTAGCCTCTTGAAGGCACTGAGGTTTGTGGGTGGGGACGGGTTCAACTGTTCCAGTCCAAATGAATAAAGACCTTTGTATAGTTCTGTATCACTTGTTTTGCTTGATTTAATTCTCGGAACTGTGGGGTTAGTATTGAAATATTTTCCTCAGGTAGCAGCAATCACTAGCCATCTGCCCAGTTTGCTGCAGGCTGTTTTAATCTTCGCATGGAGGATACTCACACATACTGTCTCATCGTGCAGTGGAGCTCCCACCCCGTAATCCTATCTCTTAAAGCCATTATGTGGGAAAGTCAAGATGATGCTTAACCAGAACCCGCTGTCGTGGGCTTGATCCCGGCTCAGGGCAACCCTGTCTTAGGTGCCAAGGGTGTACATTTTGAAGGAGAGGGACTGCCCACCATAGTCCCACAGAGCTCAGCCTCTTGTCTTGACACTAACTTATTGGATAACCACAGGGTGCCTTTCCTTCCCACAGGCACAGGTAATGCTGAAAGTGTCTGCTTCATTGGCTTCTAGAGCCACAGAAATATGGTGTTTATTTCATTGTGAGAAGGGAAGGGAGCGACCTGAACACGCAGGGCCTGGCGTGAGCCCAGCCTGGCTGTGCTCCCACTGATGGCTGCCTCCACGCACTGTGAGCCACACCGCCACGTGGAAGGCTGCGTGAAGAAGAGCTGCTCTTCCTTGTTCTTACCTATAAACGTGTGCTCGGACTCCTCTTTTGTTTTGAGAACTGGGGGCTGAGAACGGCGCACCACATAAGAGATCAACATTATCAAAGTCTGCTTTATGTCATCACTGCCCCACAGACCGAGCTGGAGAATGGGAATGATCAGCCCCTCATGCCTGATGTGGGAGGAGACCTGAGACCATCCGGGCAGGGGATTGGCCTGCCTGGGGGCCTTCTCAGAAGCCCTTCTCTGCTCTCCTGGACAGTCCAGTGGGCCTGAATGCCAAACTGATCCTAACATACCTGGAGTATATAAAATGCTCTAGCATTTACTAAAGTCGTTTCCAGGGAATACTTCACTCCTAGATTTTGAGAGTGGGGTAGAGTGGTTTCTGGTCACACAGCTGGGGAGGTGCTGGAACAGACAGCCCACTTGTACTGTGGGAATCAGAGACGCTGCACCATTTGTAGAGCTGGTTCTTGGTGGGGAGGGGAATGCAGATGTGGGCAAGAAGGCCTCCATCTGCATCTAAGCTCCTGGCCTACTTGGGAGACACACACCTATTGTGAGGGCTTTTTTCGGGGTCCTATCTCTCCTTGGCCCCCAGGCCTCTGACTATTCTAGTCCAATCATGGTGAAGATAAAGGGCCAATGATAACATGGGTGCTTGGAGTGACAAGTTGCTAGATCAAGAGGCAGCCAGTCATGGAAGAGGGGAGGATGGGTGTGGATCCCCTGCATCTGATTGCCCAAGAAGCCAAGATATGTTCTACATAAGGAGAGGATGTTCCTGGGAGGCAGTCATGAGGAGGATGGACCCAGGACTTGAGTGTGAGGAACCCTACCTGGCCATCGGAGCCTCAGTAATAGTCTGCAAAGAGGGTAGAGTACCAGGACCCCAAAATTTGCAAGTTCACTGTAGCACTTTGAACCTCGTCCTGAGACCTCGTTGCCCATGGGGACCACCTACTACTTGGCCTCGGCTCGGCCCAGGCCTTGCCTTGCTGCAGACGTTCCTCCTGCTGGGCAACGGGAGTTAGTATGAAGAACTGAGGAAGCACTGTTGACTTGCCCACCCCGCCAGAGTCCAGAAAATTGAGCTGCACCTGGTTCCTCCCTGTCCTAGCAGGACCTTTTCCCCATTCCCCTCTCCATAGCAAAAGATGATGCTTTCTTTTGGAAAGATGCCTGGGCCACAAGGACAGAGAAACTACCCAAACACCTCTTAACTAGGGCCCATTTGAATCCCACCATTTTCAGGGACACAAACTCTTGCACATGTCTCAAATCCAGCCCCTAAAGGAGGACGTGGTGTGCTCTGTCTTTGTCCCATCCTTTGGATCAGTCAGGATTTTGCTGTTCAGAGCAGAGGGAGGTCTGGTGGCATAATGGTATTTGTGTTGCCAACCCAAAAGCACCCAGTTTGAATGCATCAGTTGCTCCTTGAGAAAAAGATGAACAGTCTCCTGTGTGATTTACAGCCTTTGAAAACCTGCCAGAGGGTCTGTTCTAAGTCAGTTCTGACTCCCTAACAGAGAGGGAGTGGGCTAGTGTGTCTGGCCAAGGAGGACGAGCTCCTGTGTCTAGGGGCCAGACAGGTGGCTGTTGGCTGATGACAAAGTCTTAGGGATGGACAAGCAGGGCTCTGTGTGCCCAGGACAGCTAGACCCTAGGAGAGAAGCACTGGGCCACCTGCCAAGGATGAGGTAACAGCTCTGTCGTGTGTGACACACAGACCTGGCACTGCTTGCTCCAGCCCTAAAGTCTGACCCTAGATGACCTCAGGCTTCACATCAGTGCCCCTTTTCAGGGTCCAGTCTCTTCTAGCTACTCCCTCACTTTGTCAACTTTTCTAAATCCTTTCCTTCTCTGGGTCTCCTGACTTGGTCCTTGTCAGTAATTGGCATTAGTTAGCTTCAGAGAGCCTCCCTTGGAATGGAGAGTATTATGCTGAGTAAACTGCCTCAGTGCCACAAGGACAAATACTGCATAAAACCATTATTATAGAACATGTATCCAGGGCAGGGAGGAGGGTGGGAATAAAGAATGAGGATTGGGGGTGTAGAGTGTTAATCATAGGGTTGTACAATTCGATGGGTGGGAGGGGTGAAGGAAATGGGAAGGATCTTTTATGATAAACAATATATTCAAACTTTGTAAATAAATCAGAATAAAATTGGAAAAAAAAAAGCCGCCCCTGACCATTCAGGCCACATTTAATGCCCCTCGAATGTCACATCAAGTGTTCTGGGCTGCTGTCACACAATGTGGTGATGCCCCTTCTCCCACCCCTCACAAGTTTGTAGGGAGCAAGAGTGACATCCGTGCAAGATATATTAACTTTTTGCTAAGAACATTGTGCTTGGAAGGGTGGAGGGACAGGACAGGAGAGGAAAACCCCAGATGAGATGGATTGATACAGTAACTGGGGCAATGGGGGGCTGGCGTGTCAGTTAATCACATGATGATGACATCCAGGGCTTCCCGCAACTACAAAGAGGTTGTTATGGAAAACATGGCCTCCAGCATCAATATCTTAAAAACAGCTACCACTTTCTTAAATGTATCTTTTTGTCTTCATTTTTCTTAATTCTACTGCTGCTTCTCAGCAAAATGGATAAAAACAAAGTCATAAACATTGATTATAGCACCCTGGCAGTCAATACATTTAAAACCTTCAGTCTTCTGGGGTAAAGAAAGCACTGTTGAATGTTTAAACCCCTAGTGCCCAAATGTTGTAAAGCCATTATTATAGAATGAGTATGAGGATCCAAGGCTGGAGGGGTGGGGTGGGGGGAGTGGAAACAGAGGGAGGGGGGTGTGCAGGGGTGGGGGAAACCATG